GGCGGGCTGGGCATCGGTCGGCGGTTGGTGAGCAATCGCGTGGTGCATCATTCATTTTGTATATTCTATATATTCTGTTACCATTATTATTATCACTATTGTTATTCTTCTCTCTTATTAAACTGTCTCTGTCTCAACCCACGGGTCTTACTTTTTTCCAGTTCTCTCCCCCATCCCACTGAGGGAGGGGGGAGTGAGCGAGCGGCTGCGTGGACCTGCCAGCCGGGTTAAACCGCGACACAGGAGAGCCCCGCGGGGGGCGAGGAGGAGGGGGTCGGTACCCCTCTGCGCGGGAGGGCGGCGGGTGGCAATGCCACCGAGCGCTGGGCCAGGAGGGTCTGGGCGACCTCCCTCTCCAACCGAGAGGGGCCGGAACGCTACTCACAGCTCAGGGACCCGGCGGAGCCGTTCCTCGAGGCGGCTGGGATCCAAGCTGCTCAGACATTAAACCTTCTCCCCTCTTCCACGCACGCCGAAGGAGGATGCGCGGCTCCCGGCGCCGTCTTTGCTGGGTCACGCCAATCCCCCCAAGAGCTCTGAAAAAGAGGTTGCTGAATCGGTCACTCGGCCCCGGCAAACCCCGTCAGCCCCTTTGTGCACAGTGCAATTAAAACTGATTTTCGTTAGCTGATGGCGTTACTGCTGGGTTTTCTATCGCTGCGTTTCCCCTTGCTTCCCACACCTTTTCTCATAGCCTCTACAGCAGAGAAAAGACAAATCCTGCAGCCCAAGGGCAGAGAGTGCTCGGTCCAGCTGCAGCCCCGGCCGGCAGCCGCTGAGCAGCTCCGGGGCGACAGCTCGGACACCATTTGGGGGCAGGCGGGGGCTCTGCAGGGCCCCTCCTTTCCCCTTCCCACAAGACCCCGTAAGCCCCAGGGCCTGGCGTTGGCGGAGCCTCAGTGCGAGTGGGTGGTGCGTCCCCAGAGGCAGAGACTTTGGAGACTGGTGTCTCTTCTTGTCAAAACGTGGGGTCGGTTGTGTGAGATCGGCCGAAGAGGGGTTTGCAAACTGGGATTTTTCCTTCCCCCCCCCGCCGCGCACAAGGCCTGCTCCCTCAGCGAGGCACCACCACTTCCCTGCTGAATTATTATTTTTTTTTTGCAGGTGTTAAAATGAAGCATTTCTCCCATTTTTTTTTATCAGAGATTCACTGGTAACATTTTCAATTAATTTTTTTAAGTTCAGTCGGAGGAATATACCGAGCACGGGAAATGTCAGCCCCGTGCGCTACGCTTGGCACGCCAGTAAGGAACCGAAGGGAGCAGCGTGGCGGGGGAAAGGTTGCATGACCGGAGTGCAATTGCCCGTGTTACCTGCGCTGGTTAGAGACCAAACACGGCATATCCAGCGCCT